ATGATGCCGGACACAAATTGTGACAAGAAAGGAAAGGAAAAAGTACCATTGCATATGATGCACTCAACTCCGAACTAAAATTTATATTCAAAGACGAAACACAGCAAACTCTAAATTCCTAACGAAAAACAGTACGGCTGTCTATGATCTTGATTTTCAAAAAATGATAGAATTATTTAGGTGGTTTTTTGTTTGAATAAACGCTCTCGGCCTTTGAAAATTCTCTAACTTATAGATACAACTTTAACAGAAAGTACTTGAATAAATTAATTAAATTAACACATGCTTAATAAAACGATCCATAAAGAGGATTCTTCATGAAAATGATGTCAGAATTATTGCTGATTATAATCATTGAATTGTAGAATTTATTTTGGAACTTTTCATTTGTACTAATTATGAATTCATTTGGGCAGATTTTTTTTTTTCATTTAGGAATAGGAAATAATTCAGTTGGCTGGATATACATATTTTTTTTTTCAAAAAGCTGAAAAAGTGGGGATTACCTGACCTTAGATATACACAGTACAGTATGTATTTAAAGTAAAACATGAAAAAATATTTATTTCTAACTATAATATATCTTTACTTATAAAATATGAGGATATCAATTTTGGTGGGATATTTGTAGCGTACACTGTTATGAATTCCTTCCAAGATACCGCATATTTTCAGTCATAAACTACTCAATAAAAAACATGACATTCCTAAGGTTAAGCGTTACCCTCATTCGTAATGGCGATTATTTGATAAATGTTTTCACAAGACCAGATAAAGGGAGAATATATGTACTCTATGTGCTTTATGTACATGCGGTTTTGTGTTTTGTTACTTAAAATTTGTCCAAATGAAATAACAAAACTCTACTTAAATGATCCTGGCACTGTGAAAACACATGCATGATTAGTGGCGGATCTGGTTCGTGGATCGATTGGAGTCACAACATCTGAATCTATGTATTTATTAAAGTTTCAAATCGTTGAACCATAATAACACATCAGAAATTTTAAAACAAAGTGAATTACTAATCACATCTACGTACAATGATACAAATAAGAAAATGGGAACGGATATAATAAATAGAAAGAACATAGAACGTGTTTTATAACTCTTGAAAAATGCAAATAAATCATGTTCTTTATGGAGCTCGAGGTTTGACAAATATTTTCCAAGATTACAAATTCTCATTACATTTCGAATTCGTAGGCATAAAATTTTAATTATTTTCCAAACACTAAGTTACTTGTAATAACACTTTTTTACCCAAATCTATGGCCATTATAAAAAGAACATGACTGTATAATTATAAAATGAAAACAATCTTCAATAACATTCAAGGAACATATTTGATACAAGATCCACTTTTTAAAAGATTAATCATGTGCATATCTAATCCTTTTGAAAATTCAGATTATGAGTAGAAAAAGCCTTATCTATGCAATTTGTATTTTGTACGTATACATGTACAAGTAATTAAAAGGTTTGCTTTATAGCAATATTGTACATGTGCATCAATGGAATCAACCAGGTCTTGTTTTACTTCGAGCATAAGAAAACATATGATGAATATAAACCTCAAGAAATCTTTGTTTTATTACCGTGTGCAAATTTATTTTTGTCAAAATATGCATTGATAATAAATATACATGTGTAGCCAAGTCCCAGCTTATTAAGTTCATCTTGTATGTCTTCTTGAATTTGGTCTTACAAACATAACCCAAACATAACCTACTTCTTATGTAAATGTCCACTGAAAAGTTGGTCCCCCCCCCAATTTTTGTTGTAGGATAGTTTAAATAAAAGTAATTTGGTAATGTCTTTCGAAAAGAAGTCCCCCCCCCCCCGAAATATGATTTTCGAGTTTGGACACTTTACCTTTTTTTTTTTTTTGCTTGTCAAGATTTTTTCAGGTAAGTTGTAAAAAAAGAAATTCTGCCCCCCCCCCCCACTTTCAAAAACGATACTATGTGTCTGTATTTTATAATTTAGAATTTTCTTATCTCCTTTGTATGCATTTTACCTATTCAAAATAGACTACATTTAAAAAAACAACATAAATTAAGCTTTAATTCACATTTTCATGGAGCTTTATGAAATCACCACACGTTGCTCAAAAGTCAAATTCCACAACCCAGATGATCGCAACATTGCTTCAAAATCTTTGTATGAATTGCTATAGCTAGTAATCTTTGATAAAAGGGTATTATTGGTGTGTCAAATAGATATAAATCGATTAGCGTACAGGTGTCTTTTGTTCCAGAACCAGCAGGACGCATGCACATTCTTGATTATTACCAAAAGTATACACACGGCAGGTGGTGGAGGGGAAGAGTTTGATTTGCTCCTGTATTATATCATATGTTGTTTTTATTTATTTTTATTTAGGCCCATATGTCATTGTTTTAAACTTTCAAAAGAAATTGCTATAATGAGGAATGACATACTTAAAAAAAGATCCAACAATTAAACATACAACTGGTAATACGCATCCCCCCTTTTTACGTTATCTATACATGTATACTGTATAGAATGTTTTTTTAATCGAGGGTATTCATATACTTCTTAAGATTGTGTGCCTGTCAATTATCTACATGTATAATATACGTTGTACATATTCTTTAGAGTCTAGCGGAATTTTAAAAGAATCTTTTTCAAAAAAGATTATTAACATGTTACCTCTTTTGTATTTATAATGCGCATATGTCAGTTTCCGTTTTTACGTTTGTGTAATTTCCTCCCTATATCGTGTAAATATTTTGTTGATTGTGCAGTTTTTCAATAGTTTGTGTAAATTTCAATAACTTCGTGTGTATTTTCCTACGGAAGCCCGTTGAGGCCAATTCAGAGAGAGAAATATTTTTCATTGCGTTTAAACGCAATAATTATTGCGTTTAATCGCAAAACATTGCGTTTAATCGCAATAATCATTGCGTTTAAACGCAAAAGATTGCGTTTAATCGCAATGTATATTGCGTTTAAACGCAAAACACTTTGCGTTTAACCACAAAAGATTGCGATTAAACGCAATCTTTTGCGTTTAAACGCAATACTTTTGCGATTAAACGCAATAATTTTTGCGTTTAATGGCAATGATATTTTTGCGTTTAAACGGAATAATTTTTGTGATTAAACGCAATACTTTTGCGTTTAATCGCAATAATTTTTGCGTTTAAACGCAATACTTTTGCGATTAAACGCAATACTTTTGCGTTTAATCGCAATAATTTTTGCGTTTAAACGCAATACTTTTGCGTTTAATCGCAATAATTTTTGAGTTTAAACGCAATAATCTTTGCGTTCAAAGGCAATAATCTTTGTGTTTAAAGGCAGTCATTTGTATCAAACCTTGCAGAGAACAATGGACCCACGCATACTTATATCTTTATTTCTTTATCTTTTTACTTATTAGGAGATTGTGTGTTGTCTTTATAGAATCAGATTTCTCCGAGCAAACACTCTCTGAAAGGTAAATCACTAATAAGAATTTATAGAGGAGAAAAAAAATGTCGGGTTGTAAAAACAAAGGAATCCTAAGAACGAGACATGTCTTAAGCTTATTCTCTACATTTTTAATGAAGTTTCGGTCAGTTGTTCTGCTAAAAAAAACTGTCCCATACGTTGCAGTCACAAGTTTAAATCATGTATAAAGGGATTTTTGGAAAGGACTGAGGAAATGTTGGAATTACGTACAACATGATGAAGTATTTAGACTTCAATGTACATTCATAACCCTTCCTATGGTTGCATACAGTAAACACAAGAACATATGTGATGGATTTATATGAGGTCAAAATCAAAATCAAATGAAACAGATTGATCGATGTGTACTACATGTATCAAATTGACAAGTGCTATTAATACCACTGAAACTTTCTCTATAAGTTGTGATACACGTAAGCAATTGATCAGAGACTTCATTAAGAGTTTTGGGTTCTAATACATTTAAGACATTCTTTGATTACAATTTTCAAAAACTCAAAGTGTTTTGCGTTTAAACGCAATATACAATGCGATTAATCGCAATCTTTTGCGTTTAAACGCAATAAAAAATATCTCTTTCTCTGAACTGGCCTCAACGGGCTTCCGTATAGAATGACTTATTGAAATAATTTCATTGTTCATAACTCTTATTATTAACTTCGTTTGTTACTTTGTTAATTTTTTGCATGCAGCATTAATTTGAAGATTTATGCTGCAACTTTGTATCTTTTGTTTGACTATTAAGATATTATGAATTTTCTGAACAATTTATTTTTTTGAAAAGATAGAATATGTTTAAATGTATAATAAATGTGTCTCTTGAGTTAAGTACTGTAACCCATTTAAAAAAGTTTTTGTCCCATGGGTACTTAATACTAAAAAAAGTTTTTGTCCTATGATTTTCTTCAATGAAAAAAAATCATTGTCCCATGCCTGTTTGTACCGGTCCCATCATTGTGATAAATTTTGCTTGGTCCCTTATATAATACTTGTGCTTGAATAGTATGACCTCCATATTTATTGAAATTCCAAAGAACCTTTGTCTGTTTAAAAAGCAGTTCTATTAATGCCTCTTTTGTAAACTTGTGCATATCTTCATGTGGAGCAAACTGGAGAAATGTATACATTCCTTTTGTATGCGCATAATATTCTACACCCACTCGACATCCAATGTACTTTTATAAAACAAACTATCAACAATTCTACTACATTTTAGCTGCGACCCAACTTGAACAATTAATAAATTTAACTTACTTTCAACATTTTTTTTAAATAAAAAAAAGGATTCCAAGTATTTAATATATAAAGTAAATGCTGAAGAACGAAATCCAGTTAATAATATATTGAATAGTAATACAGCATTATTATTTTTTTTACATTATGAAAATCTTAAAATATTAACCATAAAATTATATTTACTAGATTATTTACTAATTATATTTATTAAAGTACTAAATCGGGTATTTACATGAAGCCTGTTGTATGCTAATCATCACTTCCTGTAATTAACTAAATGCATGTTAACCGGTATATTTGATTTTCTTCACAAGACCACTATGATCAGCTACAAGGAGGTTATCTTTGGTATCCATACATAAATCAACTGGTCTTGATACAAATCCTTCAATGAAACGAAGAAAATATCCATACTGATCCAAGATATGGATGAAGTTGTTATCACTGTCTGCTATCAGGATGCGACTCTGGCTGTCCGTAGTTATGCCGCTTGGTTCAAATCTTTTAGAAGAAAAATAATCTGTGTTACTGGATCCAGTGTATCTGAAGAGGAAATGTCCAGCTTTATTGACCACTACAACAGCATGAGCTCCCAAGTCAGCTACACAAATATTCTGGTTCCGATTCTCTGTAATAAATCTGCAATAATAACCAGATGAATAAAGAGGTTTACCATCGACATCAAACTGAATGACTTGAATTTCCTTGGAACCAGAGTATCGAACAACTTTTGATTGTTTCCCATCTTCACTGAGCAGGGCAACCAGTAGATCATTTGTGGAGGACATGCAGACACCACTCGGTCTCCAGTTTAGGAGTCTGATTAATGATTTTATTTCTTTTCTTCTCACAATGTTCACTGTTCTTCGTCCATTGTCAGTATAAACTAAATTTCCATTTCTTGTCACTGCTATGTCCGCAGGAGAGTTTCCCGATTCAGTCTTGATTGACTGAAGTAATTCACAATGGAGATTGTATAATTTCATGATCGGTCCATTCCCACATGTCCACAATATTTCATCAGTGAGACATGCTATCCTGCCAAGTCTTATATTGTACTCGGAGGACATAGAATTGATGACGATTGGTGTATCAAGCAGTGGTTTAAAATAGGCAGTTTCTGGTGCCTTCTTTCTGTAGCCATATTCATTTGTTGAAATGAAAGAGCCAAATTGTTGATGCAGTTGTTCTGCATTGATTCTCATGGGATAAAATTTAGGCAGTGCAACATGGAGCCTAGATGGAAGTTCTTTGAATTCAGCGTTCCTTGATATGTAAGTGGAGGCTAGGGATACATCACGGTTTTTAAAAATTTCCTGTAGATTTAGAATTGTCTTTTCCATTTCTGATATTTTCTGCTGGATGTTATCACTATGTTCTTTTAAAACAGCAAGGTGATGGATTCTCATTTTGTTAATTTCAGATTTTTCTTTGTCGATAATTGCATCAATTTCGGTGTGCCAGACCTCTCCATGTTTGGTGACAGTTGTTTCCAGTAAGTTGTAATGTTTTTCCAAGTTGACCTTTTCATTTCTTATGTCTGATACAATTTCTCTATATTTAGGATATACTATGTTTTCGAGCTCTTTCAAGTCTTTTTCCAGAACTTTCGATTTAAAGCGGAATATCTTCAGCGCATCTGATAATCTGTGTCGTTTATGTTTACCAGATGAAATGCAGGTTGAACAAACAGGAATATCACATTTCTCACAATAAAGTTCACAATGTCTTTTATCATGGTATAGACATTTTGGATAGATAGGCGTAGATCCTCGCTCTTTGAAAGGTACCACTTTATGTTCTATGGATAAATCAGAAAGATGTTCCTCTACACAGTTCTTGCAGAGATTAACATGACAAAAGTCACAGTGCATAGAAGGGACGGGGGTATCACACAAAGCACAGCGCATAACATCTTGGGCACTATATTTAGGGTCCATTACTGATCGGCAACAGAAATCGATGATTCTGTCAAATAAATGTGTTTCTTAGAAATCTGTTGAAAATACCAGATATAAATAATGAAAAAAGTTAATAGGATAGCTTTATGTCCATAAAAATCATAAGAAAACCAGTTGGCAACATGGAGACTGCTGAAAATTGAGTATCCCTAAAGTTGAACAACTCATTATATGACAGGATTCACACTGGAACACTATACGTAACAAACAGTAAAGAAAGTTTTATTTTTATTATTTGTAATGTATTCTCTAAAATATCATCGTTTGTAAGTTTAATTTATGAGTTCCAGAATTACTGTAATTTTCCAAACCATCAAATCAGAACTCCGTCTCATTAGCAATTCTTTGGAAGATAATAACGTTGACTTACCATGACCTCGTCTGTATCCAAAGTTTACTTTCCGACTCCAAATTAACCTGTGAAACATTTCTTCGCTGTGCATGCGATTTAAATAAAGAGTAAAATGGAATATATTTACCTACGTGTGCTTTCCGACTCCAAATAAACCTGTGAAATATTTCTCCACTGTGCATGCGATTTAAATAAAGAAAATGGAATACATTTACCTACGTGTGCCTCATTCCTTTTTTTAAATGCCCTTTTTCTAGTTTTTGGACAGCACCAGAAATTTATCTGCATTTCACATACCTCTTTCTTGACTTTCATACACATATGATAATACTAGTACCAAGTTTGACGTTACACTAGTTCTTCAGGTACTTGATTGGATTTTTAACCCTAACGGAACTAAACTACGTTCATAATAACCAATGATGCCTTTCGTAATCCAGCTTGGTCAGACTCCCGTCATCCCTGCATGTATACATGCATTCAAACTATAAGTGACATCCAGAAATTAATTTTGGTAATTGTCTTTATTGAACCAAATAAAAGAAACGCTGTAGAAAACTTTGAATTATTATCAATTGCTTTGCAAAATCTTAAAACATTTTTAGCCTGTCAGACTTAAATTTTGGAGTTCTAAAATTGGCTCTTTAATTAACACTAGCGACACATTTTTTTCGATTTTTAAAACCAATTAGGTATGAAAAAAGAGGTTATGTTTATGAAAAATGCAGTACTAGATATTTAAATCTCTTAATTTTTTTCTGCTAAATTCATAGGCTGAAAGAAAAGTTTTGCACTTTTTTTTTTCAATGATTCCGCTTGCAAGCCTCATCAACATGTAGCGCAGTGTATTCTGCTAGAACAAAACCTACTAATATCCATTATGTTGTGCAGAAAATCGTCCACTCCTTTTGGAAAGGATGGGTTTTTTTTAATTGAATTACTGAACAGCTACAAGAACACATTGTTTGAAACAATACTACGCTATTTAAAGTACAAGTTAATCAAAGGATTAAAACATTTTCTGTGACATGATAGATTGCTTTATCCTCTCAAAGATTTTTTTTGATAGCTCTCATCCAATTAATTACCTGTTAATTTATTAATGGTTCCCCTTTATTGGACTGCTACAGGTACGAAAAGATAATAAAGATAAATTTAAAAAAAAAAAAAGCTGGAAAGGTCTTTTTGTTTCCTTGCACTCAGTCTTTGGCTTTTTGATGGATGGAACATCTGTGGTAGTTGTACTTAGTTTTATTTTATTTCAATTAATCCTATATATTTTATTTCAGGAATTTCATTCATTCATTCATCCATACATCTATACAAGCGCTGCGCCTGCATTACTAATATATTATTTATTTATATGTTTAAATCATTAACATCCCTACTTAAATAATGGTTTAACCCAAAGACTATGGGTTAAGGTAGATATAAGGATTAGTCCATTTATAAATAAGGGTATTGTCTGTTTTCCTACATTCTATTGGTCAGTTGGTATTGTTTGGTCAAAGTTGTCCATTCAGGCGGGAAACCTTTGTTTTATTATTCTATTCAGAGATATTTGTCTGAGAAGGATGTAGAGATCTGGTTGTCTGTTATAATTTGATTTATATATATATTGGAGTATATTAAACATCCATAAATAGTAAGTAAATCCTTTTCTTAAACTAATTAAATGATCATAAACTAAAATTAAAGATAATGAATGAAAATAAAGTATTTTAATATAAACTTGCTAAATCAGTATGAATGTGCTAGAGTGAAAGTTCTAAAGTTATTAGAAGTTAAGATTGATATTGTAAAGTAAGAGCGAGTTATGTTTTAATCTAATTCATGTAGATCTTTGGAATTAAGATCTGGGTTTGAATTATTATGATTTTATAATTTATTAATCCATTAGGTCATCATGTAATAACTCTTTAAAGTCATCCTGATCAAGAGATAAATCACTCAGTTCCATACACTGGTATGTTAAACTCATATTTTTAAAGTATTGTAAATATTTCAGTATAGAGAAATGTAATTTACATCATAAATTCAGTAAGAGTTTCAAAGAGTTATCGCCCTTTGAATGCGTTTATATAAAGTGTAAAGTAATGGCCTAAATGAATGTTTTATGTGTTTAAATTGTGATCGTTTTGTGTTGTAAAGTGAATGTGCTTGTTTATATGTTGTCTATGTATTTATATGTTGTTATTGTTATTTTAGGGTTGATTTAAAACATTTAATTCATCTTGAAATCAACTATATATCTCCACGGAATAAATAATAATAAATAAATACTAAGAATCCAACCCTATATACCATCTTGCAGTCATTTTTTAATTTCTACAAGAAACGGTTACACATCCATTTGAATATTCCGCTCAAAAGTGTCAACAAGTCCTTAGATGAACGTCTTATATAATTTTTGACGGATATCGAGCGAAGACTTTTTTCACAGTTTCATAAATTTTTATGCCCCCGTAATCGAAGATTACTTTTGAATGGTTGGAGCTATGGCTTTCATATTTCACATGTGTATTCTTTGTGACAAGACCTTTCTTTGGGTACCATCATATTTGACCTTGATCTTGGAGTTTGACCCAGTTTTGCAAAATTTTACCCAACATTAACCTTGCCCATAACTTTTGAACAGTTGGTGCTAGGGTTTTCATACTTCACATGTGAATTCCTTGTGACAAGACCTTCCTTTGGATACCAATATCTTTGACCCTTTGACCCTGGAGTTTGACCTATTTTTGGAAACTTTAACCTTGGCCATAACTTTTGAACAGTTGGTGCTAGGGCTTTCATACTTCACATATTTAATCTTTGTGACAAGACCTTACTTTGGATACAAACAACTTTGACCTTTTGACCTTGGAGTTTGACCTACTTTTGAAAAACTTTAACCTTGGCCATAACTTTTGAATGGTTGGTGCTAGGGCTTTCATATTGCACATGTATATTTCTTTTGAGAAATCCTTTCCTTGGGCACCATTAATTTTGACCATGACCTTGATGTTTGACTAACTTTTGAAAAACTTCAACCTTTTCCATATCTTTTCAAACCAGTCACGGTAGCCTAGCGCTCGCTTCGTGATTGGGAGGCCCAGGATTGATTCTCATTCGTGGTGCCGCATCAAACCTAAGACGTAAACATAGGTAGGGACTGTTCTTTTGCCAAGCGCCAGGCACTAGAAGTGAAAGTCACGGACCTTTCAGATGAGACCTTAAAAACCGAGGTCCCGTGTCATGGTAGGCGTTGGCACGATAAAGAGCCCTCACTGCTCAATGGCCCTAAGTGCCGAGTATATTTCTAAGTTTGAAGCCCTTCACTTATGCATCTCCATATGAGTGAAAAATTCTCGAATGGGACGTTAAACAACATACAATCAATCAATCAATCATATCTTTTCAATGGTAGCTGCTAGGGCTTTCATGTTTCACAGGTATAGACGGATTCTAGACAAAGTGATTACTTATTATTCTTCGAGACAAGACCTTACTTTGGATACCAAAATATTTGATTTGCATGTGAAAAAGTTTAACCTTCGCTATATAAGTTGCCATATGGAGGCATCAGTGTTTCACAAGCATTATATTTATTTCTTTCCCCTTTAATGCTTAACAAAAACAGAAAAAAAAGAGACAGCTGGACAGGCTCCTTGAGTCTTGAGCTGAAAGGAATAGATTTAAAACTTGCTCTTGGTATACCGTGCAAAAAATTGTGAAAATAACAATATTTTTGTAAAGGAGATGCATGGAAACACAAAGGTGACATCAATTCTCCACAATACTAACAATAATTTTATAACATGAAAGGTATCATAGGTACATGTATTGGGAATAGTCGTACCCCCACCCCACCCCACCAACTCCATTATGAATTATGCCTGACTGCGATTAAAAAACTTGCAAATCCCAGTACTAGACCATAGAATTCACCCTTTTCTTCTTAGTTAGAAGCATGAGCAAACATTTGATTGCCTTGTGCAATGAATTACTTCCTTATGTATTATACTAGTACTTGACTGTGCTTGAACTGCCACCACTTTCGGGCAATTCAACTCAAATCACATTAAATCCTCTCTAATTCTTAAAATGTCGCTTCAAACTCAGTTTACTGCTACCGATTCCGTAAAACTTTGAAAAGGGAGGCCGGAAGTTGATGTTGTTATGTAAATGTGAATATCCCTCTACTTAAATTTAATTGGTTAAAAGAAATATGACGTTTCGCGGGAAAAATCATGCAAAGACAGTGACAAACTTTTTCGACATGTTGAATGCTGAGCAGGCCGAAACTTTCCATAATCATCAAAAATAATATGTGAAAGATTTTTTTCTTTTATTTTGTTGAAGAAAAAATCACGAGGAAATAAAAATTATGCTTGTTCCTGGAATTCTGGTTACTAATTTCTCGTGTAAACCAGGCCCCTTGCATTCTTGCATAAATATTTCTTCCTTATAGTAGTACTATTTTCAGTGTTTGGAAGCGATGAAAATTTTAAAGTAATTCAAGGTCAGTCAGCCTAGATAAATCATTTTATAACATTAAAAAAGAAGGATAAATATGTGTATGTTTTATTTTTCATCACAGTGGTGAGCTGGTCCAGATCACTGAACCTCCATGTGCCCTCTTTCT